CGCAAGGAGCCCCCTGACCTGCCCGCAACCCCCTGCCCAGCTCCTGGTTACAGGAACAGCTCCCTGCACGTCGGAGAGATCACGGCTGCATTTGCCGGACAGATGGAACCTAAGGCACAAAGACCCCGTTCATGCTGGCGAAGCGCACGCGGAGCCAGCGGCGATAGCGGGGAAGCAGCACCGACCATCCCAGGGCAGCTCTGCCACAGCTGTACTGGGGGGTTATAAAAACGTTCCAGCGTTCAAAGACAAATTTCAGTTATTTGCATCTTTGGGCAAATAAAGACAAACTACTTCCAGTCGTTACGAAAACTGGTTTACTGAAAGGGAATAGCCATCTATAAAACTCCACGCCATTATGTCTATTTTTTAACCTTTAATTTCTAAACAAGATTCCAAACGTGGTAAGTATTTATTCAGCAAACATTCCTGCAGAAAAAACTAAGGGTCGTGTCATGTTAATTTGTAACCAGGATAGTCAGGAATGACATTAACTGCTTTAGCTTGAAATCACTAAATCATCCAGCTGCTTTTAGAATATTTTTTCCTAAATAATTTCTGTAAGTCCTTGCCTGTCTTTTCACAGGGTTTGAGTGAAGATGTTTTCTTCAGAGAACAGCTACTGAAGAAGGCAAAAAAATAATCCCAACTTGCCAGATAACACACTTATCTAGGAAGAGATTAAATGAACCATCTCAGTTTTATCTTCATAAAATGCCACATCAGAAAACACAATCTTCTGGTTTTAAATTCTTTTTTTTTTTTTTTTTAAACCCGCATGGATAATCTGAGACAGCAGAAACCAGTGGATAATCATAAAGTTTCTCTAAGCAATGATAAATCCTCCGCTTTTTCCTTCCGAGATGAGTCTCTCTCTCCAGGAGGGTCCATCTCCAGGGCTCCATCCCATCAGACACCTGGAGGTGTGAGGTTCAGCCAAGCTGGGCTGAGTTCTCATAAAAATGGGGAATTTGGAACTATCTCCTTGCAAGAAAGGTCGAACCACATTTTCTTATGTGATCATAAAACACAAGGCCTGAAAACTTGCGCCCTCTGTAGCCTCTGGACACAGTTATAAATGTAACATACTCCTACATCTTTAATTCATTTTTGCCTAAATGTATGGCAAATAAAACACAATGGGTCACCTGTGAAGACAGAAGTGGAACACACATTTTGTGCCCTGTTTTATTGCTTTTGCCACCACCAAAAACACTTGCCAAGAGTAGGCTCTTAACAGACAGAAGGCAACACTCGTTTGCAAATATACACTGTTTTCAATTCAGAATTCGCTTTTCCCTTAAGTCAGTTCATGCTGTGCAAGAGGGACTGGACACTACAGAATTAACAGCAGATCAAAATAAGCGTTTAAGGTGGCTTCTCAAGATTGATGGTGTGATTACACTCCGTCACAAAGAAAATGAGGGATGGAGTTCAAAAATGTCAGCATGAACCGCTGTGCCTCTACTTAGAGCGCGAAAGGATCAAACACAGGTTTAATGATTTCATATAAACAGTCAAAACCACACAAAAACTACTGTACAAAGCCAAAGTACTTCTGATGAGCATTAGCACTTCTCATTTCTTTTGTGCCGTTTAAAGAAGCTGTCACCACAATAACCACATTAATAGGAAAGACGATGCAGTAGCTACAGTTTTACTGTCGAGTCAGGAAGCCCGTGCAAGTCCCTCAGGCAGGGACGTTTTCCTTTAACCCAGGTTGCTGGGAATTTCTGCTCTTATTCATAGCCTGCGAAGAATTACAACACCCCAAGGACAAAGTTACTGTTACTCACCTCCTCCTTCGTGGAGAAAACCCCATAGGGGAGATTTTGGAGAGGAAAATCAGAGTCCTTGTCTACTTGGATGAAAGACATGCTTGCCGCCGAGCAGCAGCTGCTTCCAGAGCCCCCACCTCCTGGCCGCCACACGGAGGAAGAAGATCCTCTCCAGATGTTGCAACCCAGAGCAAGAAGCACCAGATGCCCCCCTCTGTCCTCAGCCCCAAACCAATCGCTGATCCGTCTCCATCCCACCCCTCTGGCATCGGTTAATTAGTGCCAGAGGTCTGCGTGAGTCAGCAGCCGTTAACCATTCCCAGCCAGGTAGGCACCAGCAGAGAAACAGGCTCTTCCTGCCCCAGAAACCTCACACAAAACTGACATTTTTCTCTTAAGAGGTACATTGCTGTGGGTCAGGGATCCTCCTCTGAGATCTGCGGTAACTCCGCTCATTTACTTTCCAAGGGGTCACTTACGTGCCAGAGTGATGGAGAAACGATCGCACCCCTGCTGAGCGGTTCTTCCACCGGGAGCTCAGCGACCATGGGAAGTTGGCACAACTTGCACCTGAATCTGCCCTCTGTGGGCTTTTTAGTTTTATAACACTGCACCCAACCAAGTCCCTCCATTTCCTCCCGACAGTTCCAGCAGCTTGAAAGCAGTCATGTGTGTTCAACCACCCGTAAAGAGCAGGGACGCTGGTCTTTCTGTTCCCAGCTCCTGCTTTCTCCCACCTGCAGGAGAAAATTCAACCATGTACAGGAAAAGTAGAAACCAGTGAAAGAACACCCTTGAAATTAGAACAAAATAGCAAAGTCCACCTCTTTATGGCAGAAATGGTTAGATGCTTGTGACTGCCCAGCCAAAGAACTGGGGTCCCGCCTAACTTCTTTCTTCTCTGGCAGAGAAGACTCATTAGAAGCAACGCAGCAAGCTGTACAGCCAGATATTCAGTGTAAGATGACACAACAGCATTGATGACAGCCCATCTGTGACGGCTCTTTGCTAGCAGAGACACAAGCTCACATGATGCTGTTTGAAAAGGAGTCTTATTTAAATAAAACAATGCCTGCCACAAACTTGTGTAAAATTTCCTGTAAAATTCCTGTACCCAAGGTACAACTCCATTCCACTGACAGCTGAAAACGTTGTTAACACAGTGAAGATGTTTCACATCAGGCTTACAGGACTTGGGTAGAAACTGCTCATTCCAAAAGGGAAACAAAAACATCTTGAAAGCGTGTTTCAAATACACACTGTGCATCTTGAGAAGACAGATTTACTCAAGCGTTTTGCAGTGCTGTGAATGTGCTGGTATTAAAACGTTCATGTGCTAACCTCAAGCTGACAACACAAAATATAAAGCTCCACTAGTTACCCAGATTGAGAAACAGATCAACTACCATAACACAGAGGCACTGCCAAAGCAAACAATGATGAGATGCAATTCTCAAGTGTCAGGGAAAGGTGGATTTCCAGTCTAAATACAAGCTCCTATCTCAGGACCATCTACTCTTTCAATATTCATAAACTCTTGAGAAATCCGCACAAGTCAGGCCAAAGGAGATTTATTAGATCGCTTTGAGAACGCTGGGTGTGGAAGCAGCATTCCGAGGCACATTTCCTCTAAGCACAGTTACGTTTCCTACCATAGGACTGAGGGCCAGGAGAGTTGTTATTTCATAACAGGTGGCAGTAAAAGGAGTGTGTGAATTCCAAAAGCAGCCGCTTTTCTTGTACCTTTTCTTCTTTAAGTCTCTCCGATATCAGAAGATACACGACTGGTTTCCACTCTCCGTTGTGAAACGTACGGTGTCTCCTCTGCTTGGCCCAAAGGTATCAGACTGGAGGGAATGGCATGTAGGGGAGAGAAAAGGGCACTTTAGGAAGAGAGAGACTAGAAATAGGGAAGAGGGAGGAGTCAAACTGAGAAGGATCATAGAGAACAGGGAAGTAGCAGCAAAGAGGAAAGAGAGCTGAGAAACACCCATGAAAGAAGATGCTGCTGCTCTTCGATGCTCCGTGCTGTGTAAAAGGAAGTTTAGCAAATACTCTGAGAAAATACAGGATCTCTGATCCAGACAAAAGCAGACCATTACCTAAACTTGCCAGGAAGTGTTAATTATTCCATCCTTCACTATAAAAACCCTGTGCTTCCTAGATTGTGGTTAAGCCTATTTTGCAAGCACAAGACACTTCATTTATTATTGGGTCTTGCAGATTACTTTCCACAGCTATCTGATAGAGAAAGCTCCTTCTGCTGCACAGTGTTTATATGCTAAATGCAGTGCTTTATCTACTAATTGCCAGCCGTAGCTTTGAAAGAGCATTCAAAATTTTAAAGGACGTAGCCAGCTCTGATTAAAAATTTAACGTTTTAAGTAAAGTCACGCAATCTCATTCATTTCACAAATGCTTCAAAGCAGCAGCAAGCTACCAAGTGAAATTTCAACTGCAGATCAGTACCATCTGGAGAGGAATTAGTTCTACTTCAGTGTACTTCAGTTTGGCGATAAGCGGCACTGGATGAAGTTACCACGGCACTACATAAACCTCTCAACCTTGAAGTTATTCTGACGACCAGCTCTGTTGAACTGTTGAGGCACAGACTCTGATCTGACAAGACAGACACTCTTAATTAAAAGCAGCCTACTGAGCAGCTTCATGAGGCAACGAAAGAGCAATTCCTCCTACCGCCAAACAGGGATCACTTACAAGCCCGTAGATGCACTAAGGAGCACGTGGAAGGTGGTTGTGGCAGTGTTCGATGTTGAAGGATTTCCAACAACAGACATAAGGACATCTCACTGGAGAAACTGTCTCAAGTGCTGTCAGTCCGACAGTGAATCGCAAACCTCACCGCTGTATTTCTTTAGTTCAAGAATCACAGACATGGATCCACAGTCTCGTCACCGGCAACATCTGTTCTACCTGCAGAGCTGACCCCAGCTTAAGCGCCCTGCCCCAAAGGACCCCAGCTCCCAGACAAGTGACACTGGGCCCAGGCAGCACTGATCACTCCCTGGGCAGGACCTATCAAGGTAGAAAGCTTCTGGAAACTGTAGTCTCTCTGAAAGTTATAGGTGAAAAGGTAAAAAATTAAGTAAATCAGCAGTTAGCCGGTGTTGGGATACACATGGTCTCAGTGAATAAATACACTGTAAGGAAAGGAATAACTACTGGAAGGTCCCCATGAAAATAAAGCAAGAGAAATCCAAATTACATATGCCAGTGACAGCCACAGGGGCTCTGATTTTTTAAAATTTTATTTAATCAAAGTTAAGACGTGGATAAACATAAATACAGCACAAGTACTTCAGATCATTCTTCATATTTGTGTACAGACAGACTGATGGATGTAATCCCAATGAAATCTGCAGTCAGTGAAGTGCATACAGCCTTCCCCCCACACACTCAAAAACAAAACCCAATTTAAAAAACAAAAAACCAAACAAAACAAACCACACAGACAATCTCAGCACACACTCTCATTACAAATGATTCATCCATAAATAGGTAGAGGGTGCAAACAAGCTAATATGCGAACATGTATAACCTCTCGTTAATGGGAAAAAAAAAAAAAACAAAAACAGAAGCAGCCATAATGATTAAAATACATTCAGTTACTGATAACTAGTTGTGCCATACAAGGCATTATCAAAACAAAAAAAAGAAATTGTGCTGCAGAGAAAAGCTATATACAACAAGAAAATAAACTGCAAAGTTAACGCATGCATGTTTTATCCTGGAAAAGCACAGCCCTCCAATATTTTCTCCACGTTTGTTATAAAAGCCCTCTGCACTCAACTAAAATTAAAATGATCTTAAAGGATAATACTTGTAAAGTTTACTTAAGTCTTCAGCCACAGAAAACTGCAATGAAAATAAATGTTCAGAGTCATTTTCAAAACAAAAAAACAAAACCAAAAAATCTATTCATCTGATGACATGCATGATTAAAAGGTCTAGGCAAGATACACTGCTCTACGTTCCTGATGACTAAGGAAAAAAGCTCAAGTCAATTTAATCTGCAGATGGTCAGAGGATTTTTGTATTTCAGCAGAAGCAGCAGTTCAGATCTTCTGGATCTTTTCCCCAACAACTACAGGATTCTCTTTTCTGATTTTCTCAGCAGCATCAGCTTTGTAATTGTAAGAGCAACTGTGTACATCTGAATAACGGTGCATACCACAGTAAACGTTTCCACAGCGACATTCAAACCCTGTGGACAGAAATATTAGCTTAGACATTTCAACATTCTTAATTACACCAGATTGTTTTAAATCCTGAATGTGTTCACTCACTAGCAATACATCTCAGTCACCAGTGTCAATCGACCAAAGAGCTTCTGCTGCAGAAAGCATAAAAATCACAAATAATACATTTTTAAGTGACTACAGTAAGATCTGACTTTATCATTCCTTCCTACCACATGGTACACCAGCATAAAATGAAGCCTCCTGCTTCCTTGTTTATGGAATCTTCACCCTGAAGAACTCAAGTTTTCTTAGGCCCTTTCACCAAACCACTGCAAAGCTGGTTAGTGAACAGCAGCAAATTATCATCCAGTTCCTCAGCTAAACAGACTTCCAAAGGGAAGCATCTGGGATTAGGAACTACACTTAAGGAGAGGAAGATGAAAAATGAAAAGACACATGAATGACTAAATCTAGTAAGAGCCAGCAGAAAGCAACTTTGGCCAAGTTTTATTTCAAACCAACAACCCTGAGATGACCATGCCCCATTCTCCTCCTCAGGAGAACCTTTCAGAGGTCCAAAGCCTAAATAAGTCTAAGAAAAGTGAAATGTACACTCCTTACCAGTAAGTCCAACCTTCTTCCTGCACATGAAACAACGATTCTTTTTCTGTTTTGGTTTGTCAAGCAACTTGTCTTGTTCTTCAGGTGTAGACTCTGCATTCTCTGACACTGAAGCTATTATGAAACAAAAAGTTAGTAAGAATGATGGAAAAAAAATGTCTGTCTCTCCGCTTCCTCTCTAAGTCATACAATGATCTAAAGCCCATGTTGTAAATTTAGGTTCTGGGGTGAGCCAGCTTGCTGCAGCTGCCATGTCTGAGGTATACTGGACTCTCAGCAGTGGTACTGGAACTCCCTCCTTCTAGACCTTCAATACAATTTAAGGAGAGAATTCACTGAATGCTCATACAAAGTTCACAAAACAAAAATACCATAAAGAAACAGAAGAAAGATTCAGTGCTGTTACATTTGGGAAAAGAATTCAACGCCCAAGTGTTTCCCCACTGGGGTTACTAGACCAGTTCCTAAAACCTGCTTGTAAGAAGCACTGTATTTATCAGGGTCAGTTGAGTAAAGCGCTCCCTTTCAAATACTGAATCAACATTATTTTTGCTGAAGGCTGCAAGACTGAAGCCACACAAAATGCGGCGTTTCAGAACAAACTCTACCACTGTGACACTGTGGCTCTTGCACACCTGAAAAAAGCCTACACAGGGGTCAGTCACGACCTGGGCTGAGATATCATTAGCTCAAGATACACAGACTTCCAGGTAAATGCACTATCCTGAAGCCCAGAAGAAAGCAGGGAAATATCTCATTTTAAACAGACTTTTGCTAAGACTCCTTTCATCCTACTTTAATATTCTCTCACATCTGAAAGAGACAGGTTACATGCTGTGTGGGAGAACTTCAGTAATAGTAGCATTTGCCTGACCCAGGTAAAAATAGAAATTGGCTGCTTTTCCTCAAGTATTTGCACATTCCTTACATTACAAAACAGAAATAGAAACCAAAAAAACCCAACTTCATTTCAAGAAGGGCTAAGAGCCAATCTCTGCCTACCAGCCATAGCTAGATCACAGCAGGACAAGTCTCCAGTGAGTAAGGCACACAGAAGCTAGGAGTGCTTGCAGAAAAGAGGCAAAGTGAACAAAAAGAACAAAAATGAGTTCCAGCTGGGAGGAGTATCAATGGAAGCAGAACCAAAACCAGCGCTGTCGAGAAGGGAAAGACAACAGCCCAGACATTTGTCAGGGAAAAAGCTGCAGGCATCTCTGTGCAGCTGGACTTTTGTTAGGCAGAGACTGTCAGATGCAGTTCTGTGCTAGTTCTGCGCCAGTCGACTGCTATTCTGCATGACAATTCGTGTGGGTTTTTTCCTGTGCTGCTGTTCCGATTTTTTTTTTTTTAAAAGGAAAGGGCACTTTCCATTTTTGCAACATATCACAACACTGCCATCTGTACTAAGCAACATCAATGGGTAGCAAAGACTACACCCAAATGGACAGTATATTCCAAAGGTTAATCTAGCAAAGATAGACTGCTATACATGGTTTATTAAACTCCTTTTAAATCACCATCTATGTTACAAGCAGAGCTTTTCTTTGCCCTCAACTAATAAACTGAGACAAAGAAATTTGTATAAGAATTGACAGTTTGCCCAAAAAGGTTCCATGGCTTTAAATGGCTGTTAAAGGGCGCATTTCTGAGTAGACAGACAATATCCAAAGGTTTGCAAGATAATAATCAAAACCACTAAGGATTAAGGGATGCTAAGTATCAGAAGTGGTAAGACTCACATGAACTCTTGCAGTGTTATACAGAACAGATATTAGAGTGTTAATTAATTCATTAAGAAAGCTTCATGCCATGAATTAGCGCTTAGCAACTAACATTCTCAAGTTTGCATTTCCTCTTGTAACAAATTCCAGTTACCTCAATGTAAGCTTTACTACAAGCCTCTGTAACTATTAGGCAAATCTAGGAAAAAAACCTGGCACTGTTCCCTGCCTAACAAGGCTCTCTAATACATACGTACTTACGCTTTCTTTGTGCGTACGGCTCTCACATTAAAGTTTAAAAATATTTAAGGGCCGCTGCTCACTGTAGAACTGAGTGGAAAGGTTCTTCTACTGCTGCCACGAGTCACTTTGTATCTACTGTAGTAACCATAAATTTTAGCTCTCAATTTGCTTTTGCATAGAAGCCAGAGATTTTGACTCAAAATCCTGTATGACAGCCATGAATATCCCTAACCACTAAGCCACCTTTGGTTGACAAAGTGCCAGTGTTTAGTGCTCTGCCTATAAGCTGTGATGAATGCAATAGCAAAAAAAAAAAAGCCAGACAAAATGCAACACCATGTAGTTTGGAGCTGGCAGGAAACATGTTGCAGCCACTCCCAGCTGCTTTACTTTGGATCCCAGGGTGCTGCTGCCCACTTTTCTCCTACCCATGCCCTCCATTCCCCCAGCCCCAGTTCTGCCTTTCGCTGGAGAACACCAGCACAAGCTGCCAACTAACCCAAAACAAATAAAACATGAACACACTCTTTTTTCTGGAGCTGACAAGCTGGCCTGGCCACTCGAAGTCCCCCATTTTACAGAGCATGTTCTTTGCTGATCAAAACAAGCAGAGCCAGGATTCCCTCATAAAAGCAGAAGCTTTTCCTGGTGCTTTACTTGTGCCAGCCCCGCTGGAAACATCAGCGTACCCTGACCACCGGAACACCACCACCGAGGAAAAAACATGCTCCAGTCCCTGCATCGCTGCCAGCACAGCACAGAACTCTGCACTTGCTTCAAGGCTCCAGACACCTCATCTTTCTTATAGAATCAAAAGAGTTGTCAGGGTTGGAAGGGACCTTAAAAATCATCTAGCTCCAAAGCTCCAACCCCCCTGCCATGGGCAGGGACATCCCCCACTAGATCAGGGTGCTCAGAGCCCCATCCAGCCTGGCCTCAAAACCTTCCAGGGATGGGGCTTCCACCACCTCTCTGGGCAACCTGTGCCAGTGTCTAAACACCCTCATGGGGAAGAACTTCTTCCTAACATCCAGTCTGAACCGACCCATCTCCAGCTTTAATCCATTCCCTCTAGTCCTACCACTACCCAACATCCTAAGAAGTCCCTCAGCAGCTTTCTTGTAGGCTCCCTTAAGATATTGGGAGGCATATTTTACGTTTGTCACCCCTGCAATACCAGGGAGAGCTTCTCAGAGGACAAGGTTCCCCACTCCCACAGGAAGGCTTTCAGTAACTACATTTACCTCTTAAAAGCATCCGACCAGACCCTAGGAAAGAGAATAGCCACTCCTCTAACGGAATGAAATGTGAAGTTAATCCTAAACAGGAGATCAGTACTTCCTTAGATTTTAACACTAAACCGAAGTAATCACCCTAAAATACACTGTTCCAGTGTTAGAGCGGCACACATTAAGCACAGAATTTAGGTTTAATGTCTCTTGTGAATGTTTCCTCTCTCCCTGGAGCATTCATCCAGTAAATCGGGATATCTTGTGCCATTTTCTACACTTGTATCATAACCACACTCTACATCTAAGTCTCTGATGCTGTCACAAAAAAGTATCCATCGATTCCTTCCCAGGACTGTCTACTGAGCTAATCCTGATACGGTCCACTGAAGCTGATGTCATTAGTTCAACAGCATCCACTTTAGGTTCAGGTTATCTCCATACAAAATTGTGTAGCAACTTAGTAAGTTTAAAAAAGCTGATGTTAAAACTAAGTCAGCAGAATTAAACTGTTTTACCTCACTAAAAACATAGATGAGCACAAAAAGGTGATTTCACTCAGAATAGCCATGTTATTCAAATAACATGGTTATTCAAATAAATAGCTAGTTATTCAAATCTTAGTTTGTATTTTCATTTTTCAAATTAGTAACCACACTCTATTACACAACTGACTCCATTCTGCAGTGCTAATATACTGGTCTCTCCAATGAGTTCGAAAACCAGAGCGACTGGTTTGGGTCTCAGAAGTTATCAGCCTTGGAGAGGCTGGAGAGCCCACCTGCTAATATATAGAAATATTTTATGCCCCATGTTCTTGAGTTTTAATAGCTCCATAAACTACACAGTGGAGCACTCCTGCTTTCCATGACGTTTCATTTACCTTTAAAAAACTCCCCGAAATATAAAGCATGAATCCTATCCTGGATAGTTTTAAACTCATTAATCCTAGAGAAGTAAAATGCCTCTTTACCTGCTTGCAGGCTTCCTGGGAGGCAGCACCGTTAATCCCCTGCTAAGAAATAAGGAATCCTGACTGGCTAATCCTGACAGGGCCGTAATGTTGAGCAAAAGGTACAACAGTCCCCGAGACAATCTAAAATGAGTTGGAGAGCTGCTCAGAATAGAAGAAAGCTGCTAGAAAAGCTGGACTGTACCTTAATGACGTTCATTTTAGGTCATCTTTAATGGTATGCTCATGGTATTTAAGAACATTAAAATAAATAAAAATAAATAATAATTAAAAAACATTAGTCACCACCTAGCATCCGGGCTTTTTGCAGTGTTCCATACCCACAATCGTTATCACACAATCACTAGATGTAAAACCTAGATTTCATAACATATTCTATAGTTTTCCTCCACTTCCTTTGCAATGTACAAATCTAATGAACGTAAACGGATCGAATCTGAACTGCTCTTTGGGGGTTTTAGCCCTTTGCAGTTTTAGTTTGCCTGAAAACAGCAAGAACTGTGTGCAGAGAGTTCAAGTCCCATTTATTTGTCCACTTACAAAAAAATAAGTAATAGTAATCTAAAAATAAGTAAATAGTAATCTAAGAAAACTTAACTAGTCATTCTATCTTTCATTCACCATTAAACAGCAAGTTCATGGGACCTCAACTAAATACTATAGACTAACTATACAAGTAGCAGAGAACAATTTGCTGTGGAACAGACATTCCAATAGAGCAAGATTTTTATCAGAATAAAGACTGAACAAATGATCAAAGAAGACAAATTCTTTTTTGTCTCCTACATCAACAGAAGTAGCATTATAAGCTCTTCAGTCTGGGACCAACCACCACAGCTCTATGACTTTTTTTTTTTAACACTACAAAGCCAGATGATACTAACTAACTTGGATTCACACATTTCTATTACATTCTTGACAGTAGCCTAGAATTCAAATTCCAAATTACAGTGGTGTGGAGGGTGGGAACAGGATGCACAATTGTGACACCAATTCAGTGAAATCCACTTAGCATCCACTGTAAGATGCTTTCTTTCCAAATTCACAGTTTCAAAGCAAAATAATTTAAAATTGGATACGCTACATGTCCTTTGATTTTCAGTGAAGGGAGAGCACAGAAGCAACTCTTCAGGAAATGAGGCTGACCCTGCCACAGTGAGTTATAAATAGGGATTGTAATTTAGAACTGCAATTACACAGTCGTGGTGTTCTTAGTTTAGAAATCACTATGGTACAAAGAAAAGGACACAGAACACAGATGAGTACTCTCAACTCCTGATATAGGTTGATCCCTGAAATACGTATTGTAAAATGCAAATAATGCCCCCAAAAGCAAAGCTTCTAGTTGAGAAAGCTATCTGATCTTCTCATAGGGAGAATTACAAGGAACACAAATATATCCAGATGCGTAAGAGACATTCCTTCGGAAACTTGCTGCAAGAAGTCTTTTCACTGGCCCCAGTCGCCTCACAGGACAGGCCCCAAAGATTATTTGAAAATAAAGCACTGCCCTCACCTCCCAGTGAAAAGACAGTAGGTGCCGCAAAGCAAGAGCTTCAGCTTACAGCAAAGCCAAGCAAGTAAGATCCCGAGGCAAACAGAGAGACTAAGCCAGGCTCTGGATGGAAGACAAGGAAGAGACTAAACTCATGAGACTAACTGGAAGACAACAAAAGAAAGAAAAGGGTAGTGGGAAGATGAGCTTACAGAAGTTGCCTTAATATCCACTGACAGGTGCCACACGCGCACTGGCACAGACCTGCAGCGCAAAAGCCCCATGCCTGACCCAGGTGTTCTGCTCCTGAGGTTCCCAGAAAGGGACGTGCCTGCATGGGAGCTGGGCTCCAGCTGGCACAAAGCACTTCCCGGCTTCCCAACACCGCACAACAGGCATGTAAGTAGAGCCCTATCCACATAACTCCGAGGTACATCAACTAAAAATCTAGTTTGCAAACCCACCTCTGCTGTGCAAATATACAGAACTTAAGAAGGATAAGGCTTTTCAGCACTCGCTCTTCTCTTAAGCTGAGTAAGGTCAGACATCACTGACAGGTATTAAGAGCACGCCTTATGTGCATGGTAGAAATTAAGGCAGCAAGAGCTCCCAGCTCCAGAAAACTAACTAGCAGATATTAGAATATATGTCTAGAATATAGCTTTTTAAAAGTAAACATCTTTCTAATAATTGACATCTCAAAGGCTGGTACAGTATTAACAACAGAATCTTTTCCCTTTTACAGCTCCTGTTTGTGTGACCAGGGAGGAGGCCTTACTCCACACACTGCCCAAGTTCTACTCCATCCTACAAAAAGCCAGCACTCAGGTTTAAAGAATTCTCTGCAAAGCAGAAATATGATGCCAGATGTATAATAAAAGAACTTACATTTAGAACATGTAATTCCACTTAAAGAGGCTATCTGTGGAAAACCCAAACTTCTACATTTAGACTAGTCTACAGAAACATAACTCTACCCACTAAAGCCTTAGCTGCATCAGCAGAAGTGAAGGCACAATACTTACTGACTTACCTTTAAATACCTTTTATGTCTACAGATTACAAGCCTGAGCAAATTTTGTACACTATTTTTTCATTTTCCTAAGAAGCATTATTAAAAACTCTTTAGTTTTAAGCTCTGTAAGTCTGCATGTAAAAAAGGGAAAAAAATAAAAAAGAAAAAATCCCATTACATTTGTACTGGCAATAAGGCTTTCAGGCTGATGTACTTACATCATTCAGTCATTTAACCTCAGAGTTTGTGGCTTGGTCATTTTATACTTGATAAAGTGAATTTCAGCAGATGGAAACATTGCACTGCTACTGTTCACAGGCAAAAGGTTCTTTTACACATGTTTCATGTTTATAGAAGATACTAACACTACTCTTATAATAGCTATGTCACAACACCCTCTATCACAAATATGCTCATAAATTTCTGTGATATCTGCTGCAAATGATTATGCCAAGAAGTAACTGATACTCAAAACTCTACTTACATGTAATAGCTCTGGCATAACGACTGTACAGTAGATTGATTTACAATGTGCATTTCCGACCCCAATTAAGACACTCGTTATGACAGATACTGAAATCGCCAGTTAAACATAACAATTTTCAGTTTAACATTTGCCTTTTAAGAGAAGAAATGTCATTCTTAAATTGCGTTTCGATTTTTGGGTTTGAGAACAAGCCATCTCTTGAACAGAATTATATTAAGTTTTAAAAACGTTATTGTAAGTTCTGTCTCTGAAAACTAGGCACTAACCTTGCAAATCTTCTGTCTCAGGTACTGTTTTGTCCGCAGCTGTATTATCCGATTGGGATGATGCTACAGATTCTGTTAGAAGTGACTGACTTGACACAGGGCTGGGGAAAAAAAGTAGTTATTATTTCTGAGGCATGTCCATGTTCTCTAGAGCATTCCTGAACGAAATACATTAGAGTACATTTTTACGAAATATCACGACAACACTTTTCACTCAAGTTGCTTCTGTAATCATTGAAAAATTGCCACAATGCCTAAGAATGTGGGACAATCTGAATTTAGGAAAAGTTGAACATCTTGACGTTCCTACTGAATGCAATAAACTAGTTCAACTATAAAAAGGAAAAAAGAAATATTCTGGGTTAGCTTGGCATACCACCCTTCCACTCAGAAGCAACAACAGGGCAAGGCAAGGATTTTTACAACATAAGTCAGCACGATAATTGTAGAGGAGCTACTTTCAGCGTTCTAGTGATACAAACAGGAAAATTGCAGCATGTCAATGTTTCCAGCAATAAAGCATCTGCAGCTGTACACAGATTGTTGCAGTGTAACGTGGTGGTCGCCAAACTTCCCAGCCCTGTCAGTCATGGTGCTAAAAACATCTCCCTGGTGAGGAAAGGCTGAAGGAGCTGGGTCTCTTCAGTTTGGAGAAGAGCAGGCTGAGGGGTGACCTCATAAATGTTTATAAATACGTCAAGGGGGAGTGTCAGGAGGAGAGAGTCCGGCTCTTCTCAGCGATGCCCAATGACAGGACAATGGGCAACGGGTACACGCTGGAACATAGGAGGTTCCACAAAAACATCAGAAAACACTTTTTCCCTGTGAGGGTGACAGAGCCGTGGCACAGGCTGCCCAGGGAGGTTGTGGAGTCTCCTTCTCTGGAGACATTCAAAACCCGCCTGGATGTGTTCCTGTGCGATCTACTGTAGGTGATCCTGCTCTGGCAGGGGGCTGGACTAGATGATCTTTTGAGGTCCCTTCCAACTCCAGCATTCTGCGATTCTGTGAAATCACAGCGTGGCTGAAAACTCACAAACAAGCAGAGATTCATACCAGCAGTCACTCACAGCCAAGCTGCTCATTCAGCAGCTCTACCGCAGAGCAAGACAGAGTTGAAGTCTCTGGCGATAGGCACCACTGCTCCACTTCCCCAATTTGTTTCTCCCTTTCCACTTAAGGATTCACCCCAAATCCAAGGATTGGATTATCCAGCAGCCCATGAACCACAGAAGCACCACCAGTAGTCCATGACACAAACAAGGCACTGGAGTCGTAATCTTAATTGCCAACAACTGCATGTACGTCTTGAACTGCAGGTTTGGTCACCTGCAAAAGGGCACTGCCGATGTACTAGAGATTTCCTCAGAGTATAACTCCGAGGTATTACCGGAAACGGAAGTTGAATCCCTGCTTTTGTTTTAGAAAAAAGAACAACTGACACCGATTTTTTTTTGAAGTACAAGTCTAAGAGCAACCATCCACTCATCTCTTCTGTAACCACTAATCAAGCTAGTGATCCAAGAGATACTTCTCTCTTTCACGGTATTATAAAGCTTGCACGAGGAAACAAACTCAAGGCACTGCAATTGGTTCTCCTCTGTGCACTGACCTGGATTAATTTTTTTACACATACCAGGAGAGTTCTATCAGGGTAAGATATCTATTTTCTACCCCCAATTAGAAATACCAGACTGGAAAGACCAAATATAGCATCAAGCACAGCACCTAGCTCTCAGTTCACATGTGGGATCCAAGCATGAGATAACACCTCCTATAAAAAGCTAAGGAGCAAAAAACACAGTCTGAACAGAACCAGCCAACGCTGACGGATCAAGTCACCCTCAGCCTGTGGGTTTACTACATTTTGATTTTTAAAGAGAAATTGGAATGAATATTACTGTACGCTAACTTCCATAGTATAACACACCAACATTTTTCACTCAAAAAAAATTTACCCAAGCCCTGAAGTCACTGTTGGCTGTATCGTTATGAACTGATACGCAGCCACTAAGTATAAACAAATATTTCGCTTTTACATATGGAGAGTACTTAGTAATTTCGAGTGATTTACAAGATTACATGGCACCTCCTTTAATAATCCAGTTGGAAATTAGTTGTTTAATAAGATATAAGTTCAGGAGTGCAACTTGGACCAAGATTCAGATATCCTTCTTGTGTTCTAGTATGCTCAGCTTTTCGCAAGGCAACTAGTACGTTAACACATCAATCACATTATTTCTGAGAGGTCTAGTAAACAGCTTTCTGCCATTTTACAGAATCCTCAAATTTCTAAGATGTAAAGAGTTCTCCTTTGATAAATATACAACCAACCACACATCACAGAATCAAAGACTAGCCAGACAAATCCCAGCAGAACAGCGTGAAGCTGGCAACACTCCTATTTGAGGCTAAATTCCAAAGACAAATTTGCATTTGAATGCAAGTTGCAGCTAACAGATCAGCTACTATTGACTGCGAGGTCCCATGCTTCAAAATTTGCAGTTAAATCTTATCAGTTTTCTTTATTTATTTATGCAGTATGAGTACACTTCATCTAATCATCTCAATACAGATTTTTATGTAAAATACAGAACAACAGACACAAACAGCTTACCTTGGCTGCATAGATGGAGTAGATGTAGAATCTAAAGTTGACTGAGTTTCCTGGGCGCTGCCTTCTGTGCACTGAACCGGTAAGGATTCAGTTATACTACTGACAGAAGTTGCTGGAAGGAAGACACTAATGTAAAATGTGTTAACCCTACTTCCCCAGACTACAGAAGTTATACAATGCAACTTATTTTTTGACCCCCCATGACATCAGCCAAGAAAGTAATTGCATTTCAGCCTCTATCATAATGAAACATAATTTTACAAAAAGTAAGTTTGGGCATATTTTGATCACCTTCTGGCCCTAGACCCCCAGAAGTTACACAGCACAAAATTTTGAAGCAGGAGCTGTAAAACAGTTACACTATTTTCTGATAATTAAAGCATCTACAAACAGCTTTCTCAGGATAAGCTACAGTATTCGGACATGACAAGCTCAGGTTCTGTTTAAAAAAAAAAACCAAACCCCGAAGATAGATCTGAGAGAAACAGCAGTGGGGCATCCTAAGGTCAAGTTAAAATTCATTTTGAAGTCGTAGACCCTAGATCCCCAGATTTTAACAGCAGTTATTGCTGCAGTTTTAAAAGTCAAGTTCATATTAAAGTCAAGGAGGGAAGTCTTCAAGAGCGCACCATGAGACTCCTCGCTGTCGGTATTCAGCCAAGCCAGAAAAGACATTTTAGAACCTCCAGGGAAGCATACCCTAACCCTCCTGCCCCAGCAGAACATCATAAAGCTGAAAACATGGGGGTGAACAGAGCAGAAAAGGCTCCTCTTGCTGAGGGCACTAACATTAGGTCAAAAGGGAAAGAATCTAGCTTCTTCTAGTGAGTGAATGTAGGAAGACAGAACTTATTTCAGTGGAGAAACTGCTTTGTAGGAAAGACCATGGGGCACTGGGCCAAAAACAACAAGAAGTATCTCTGTCTGAAGTTAGGAGAAACTATTCTTAAAAAGCACCTACAGGTTAGTCCTTCAGCATCATGCTGCAGAAATTAAGTACCTGTAATTTAAATGCTCTTCACAAACATTCTCCAAGCTAAATGATATCTCGACTGTCAATTTCAGGAAAAATTTGTTGGTATTTTCTCTGAATTTTCACACTTCAAATTGGAAACACTCAGGTTAATATAAAAGATATTAGCAAGAGTCTACTTCTGAGCAGATTAATCACAACACAATTATAAGCATTTTGCCCAAGCTCACTCCATAAGGCAAGATATTTGAACAAAAACGTTTGCACTAATACTCCTACACTTGAAGTATTCAGACACAGTCAGGAAGCAAGTTGCTGTCTCCTGTGCCATTCTGAGTTGTTCAAACAGACATGTCAGCACTACTTACCAGGAGGGCTAATTCTACCATTACTGTTCTGCCTTTGAAGATGTTCTTTGTAGCACACTGAGCACATGCCATTCGTACGAGGATTCCCATAAAATCCGCAGCCAGTGGAACAAAGCATAGGCACTTGGCTGCGGTTAGTTTCTTGAGCCATTTTCCCTTCTTCTATAAACCTGGAATTGAAACATACAACCCAATGTTTAGAGGCCTGAGAAAAGCCTTTACAGCTGACATTTCACAAGGCAGAGTTTCCTACGGCTCAATAAAAAGATCTTCTAGGAAAGACACCCTGTGAGCAACAAAATGTCCATTCTTAAAAAGTCTATAAATCTGACTAACAATACACACACAGCCATACACACATGTCTTGCATGACCCATACGTACTGAGCCTTCCAGCATCACCATGTTACGGTCAATATAGAGCCCACAAAGAAAAGTCATTTGAGAAAATACTGGAATTGTTGCTGCTTCTAGCAGTAAGTTAAGGAGAAGGGGACACCTGTGATGAACTCTTGAAACTCAAACAACTGATACTGTGAATGAGAACTATAAAATGAAAGACAAGCATGGTAACACATGCGTACTTACTGCATAATAATTATGATTAACAATCATCACATGAATTTGCAAGTTACTGTTTAGTCACCACGTCATTAGCAAAGGACAACACAACTACCTACCACAAAACCCACATTGATTTTTCACGTGCAAAAAGAAAATCGCCCTTTCAGTCAGAAATAGTAGACTAGGTACATATACCACCTCTTATATACCAATCATGTGTGAAAATACACTAAAAATGAGGACAAAAGAGATAAGTATCATGGCAACTCATGTAACGTTGTGAGATTTACTGGACAATTGCCATCCGTTTGGGCCTGGTTTGTAAAATTCCGTAAATCTTTTTAATACAAGAAATCGCAACAATCACCTTCAACGGTGTTGTGAGCCTCCTAACTACTCTCAAAGGGTCCAGCTTGTAAATCTGTTATAGATATCTGTCACTCAGCAAGATAAAATTTTCCAGGTTTTGCCCCCCTCCAAAAACACACTCTTGCCCTTTCAGTATCAGAAAGAAGAAACAGTCATTAAAAAATTAAAGTGTCTCAGGTATCAATTATTTCATTCAAGACCAACTTAGGTCTACCATTTTATACTTCCTGATTTTAATACTTCCTAATTTTAATTCTTGCAAGTCAAACCAAAGATAAGCAGTATTACTGGGCTGGAGGGAAAAAAAAAAAAAAATAAAAAAAAATCAATCAAGTAACATTAGTATTTCAAAAGCAAAGCAAATTCAGAGGGGAAGCAGGTTCAAGATACCTGAAAACTTCCCTAATCGCCAAGTTATAAAACTAGATTAAACCACAGTAAGAGGTACACCAGGGTAAAAAGATTTCCTTTTACAAAAGATCTATTTGAAGCCAAATACAAGTTTCCCATTATTTTGTTTTTAGACAAATAGCCTCATCTTTTCTGACACTCACATCCACTGCATTTTATTTTCCCAAAGTATATGAAATTAATACCTCAAAAGAAAACCTCTGGGTTGCAAAACTAACAGCACCACAGGAACAACAGTCAAGTCCTCTGTTCACAACAATAAGGTACTTACTCCAAGGATGACAAAGTATTCAAGACATAAGACAAGAAGATGTGCAGGCAGGAAGAAAAAAAACAACCCAACCAAAACTCTGAGGTTGAAGCTGAATAAGATACTGTCAATTAAGCTTATTTCAGCTGTTTGACTGCCTTCCCCCACCCCAGTGTAGAAGCATTTGCTTTTGACATACAAAGCCCCCATTGACCTCAAACGACAGCTAAATTTGATTTTGCTGAAGTACTGTACTTGTAGCTGAAAGAGCACTTTCATTCCTGCCTTTCTCCAGACAGACCTTTAGAATGAAGCTGCAAGTAGCGCATGTGGGAATTCAGTTCTTACGCTGTGCCCAGCACTCGGCGAAGCCATTTCAGAAGAGTATAAATGAACAGGAGTTTTCCCGTGCTTTGCTAACTCAAACCAATTCAAAGACGAAGCCTTACACAAGACACTCTTGGCATAGAATGTGTATGACAAAGACTAAAAGCCCCCACACTTTGGACAAAATATTTCAAAGACTAATAGAGATTCAATGTCACAATAAAAGTATTAATCCTTTTAATTTTAGGTAGCAGCACATTAGAAGAACCTTACCACACTGACTTTCAAAATTCACCATGATTGCCTTTCTGTTCAAACAGCACACAGGAGTTCAATAAGAGCACCAGTTACTGCTGATTTTCTTATTCCTCCCCCCAACCATTGCTGAAGGAACCAGGTGCTAATGCAATCACAGCATAACAAACTTCTAACATGGACATGAAAAAAAACCCCAAAACAAAACAGTCTGCTCCAATTCAATAAACAAATTGTGAAAGGTGCACAAAGATGCCCGGAAGAAAAACAAGAAAAGCCGGACTGAGTTCCAGCTAAGTCAGTTCCCAAGTTCATTAACCAGCGGATCCTGTCGCCAGTCAAAGCACAAGCCACTGGCATGAGGCTCCAGAACACTTAAATCTCCGAGGGGAAGTGCCAGGGATTCTTCCGAGGAGTTTTAATAAAAGCCACAGGAAGCGGAAGATCCTTCATTGGTTGCTAATATTAAGGGAATAAAATGGAGAAGAGATAGGATCAAACTGATGCAATGCTAAGTCGTCACATGAGGAACAAGTTGAACACTACAAGCACGTGTTGCATTCGGAAGAGGGCAACCACATACAGCGCCCCCACGCCAGCTCCAGTGCTCTGCTGGACCCCCACCCACCCAATGAGTTCCCTGAGCCACAAAAAAAACCAAACAAACACCACCAGGAAAAAAAGGGCCATCACCAGCATACAAAGTTGTCTGACAGTGCAGCGTGCTCAGTCAGTCCATCCACCCACCCACAGAAACCACCTAACAATCAAAACAAACAACAGAAAAGAAGAAAGAAAGAAAAAGAAAAAAGCACAACACACAGGGGAAAAACTCTGGAACTGATGTGAGCGATGACATGTGACCAGGAGGGATAACACACACATTTTAGCAGCCTGTAAGCTGCTGAGATGGTTGAACTGATCCATCTGAGCCCTAAAGCCGCGGAAGGCCAAACCATAATAATAAGCTCTTGCTCCCTCTCCCGTGCTGTGCCCTCCCTCTCGGTGCTCACACACACCAAAACAAATCAAGGAAGTGATCAAACCTAGAAAACCAACCACACTGTCTCTTGTCAGGTTTAAAACAGACTGGCTTTCGAGCTTGTGCTTGTCACGTGTGCTCTTTGGGTGCAAGAGAGGGTCTAGTTGAAGACACGTGTCAAACCACTTGTTTCAACAGCAGAGCAGGCTTAAAGCATTAGGAGAACCACTAGCCAAAACCAGGTACTGAAAATACAAGGGAATAGAGGTCCAAGTGCTGGCCAATCCTGCCGCTGCACTTGAGGCACGCCTGTACACATCCCCACAGCAGAGGGCAAAGGCCAAGCTGACACAGCACCCTGCCTCAAGGACTTTTCTTCCTCACCGCCCGGGTAGGAGCCAAACAGCCGCAAGCAGAGCAGCCGGACTGTGCCCATCTCAGCAAACACAAACAGCAAGAGCTCACTCAACAGGTGTTTTGGGGGAAGGGAAGATCTCCCCCATCCCAGTTCCTGGCTCAGCTTCAGATGATTTTTGTTTCAAAACTGTCCACAGTTTCTCATGATCCATGCAGGAAGATGCATAGTGCTGCCAAGCCCAGTCACCACACAAGCCAGTGCCAGTGGGTTGTCACTGGAGTCGCAGCCTCGCAAGCGCTGTGAGAGGCGTAAGCCTACTCTGCAGTCCCGGCCCCTGTGGCACAGCCCTGCCCCGTCCTCGAGTCAGATCAGTTCATCCATCTGATGGAAAAAACAGGAATATTCATTCTGATGATCTGACAGAGTATCAGCTCTGGAGAACAGGCACAGTGCAAGGGAAGTGACAAGGCTAAAAATAGGACGACCCTTTTCAGGGGCAGCTAGCCCTTGCTGAGCATCAAGCCTGCTGTGAAATACATCCCAAGCGCATACTCTAGCTGTAGCTTCCAAACTGGTCTCCTAGCTTGGCTTCAGTACAAAACTTGAAGCAACCTCATAACTGAGGTGACTGCAAGGTCTTGGGATCAACATGGCTACATGTATGCTCCGTTCCGTTTGAGGTGTCACAAAACAAATGTGGATGGAGCTTGTAAAACTGCTGGAAACACCTCCAGGCTCTATCTGTTCCCCCCGAGCTGTGCTTGCTCAACATTCACAGGGTCATCCTGTTACTCTGAATGCAGAACTGATTAATCTTAGAAGAAAAACAAAACAAAAAACAAACCACCCAAACAACAAAACCCTTTACAATTATGTTCCCTGGTTTGCTTTATAGTTGTACAACCAGTTGCATCAGGACTAATGAGAAGGAAACACACTAGAGGGAAGGGCAAGAGCCTTAAGCAACCCCTCTCAATGCAACCCCAGAACACCCACTTTGTGAAGATTACGGAATAAATGGCCTCTTTTCACATTAGCTAAAAATTGCAAAGCTTAAGCCGATATTACCTCTGATAAATTTTCTTCAAAAGAAAATGTATTTCCACAATAAGCACAGTAGCACACAGCTTCACAGGCAAAGCCC